TATTCAAATTTTGTGCTTTATCCATAGGACCTGTTTTGTCTCTATTCTCAAGAATCACTACACACACACAAATGTACATGCAGCCACCACTGATTTTGTGGCAGCTGCCATCGAAGCCATTGCACTTAGTGGCAGGTGTCACTAAAGTAGTGGGATCTTCCACAAAGCAGTGATAGCTGTCACAGAAGCTGTTTTATATTAATTTGACTTATGTTTTCTCATATTTATTATTGAATCAATCTGATGTTTGTTTTTTCATCACAGATAAAGAATTAATCTTTTACATGAAAAATAACGATGAATTAATCACAGAGGAGTCTAATAAGAATATCCGGATGCAGTACGAATGGAAGTTTCTCAATATGTCAGTTACTAGAAAAAAGGTCCAGTACTTTTACACCAACCAAACTGTTGTTGTCTACACTGTAAGTATTTTGAAGGTCACGTAAGGTTTTCTATTTTACTTTCCCTGTGCTGAGCCAAGTCACGCTGTTTTCTACCTGATTTAGGATGATTTAAGAGACAAATTCAATTTGTGTCTTCCTGCAATAAAAGTGAGCCAATCTTTCTGAAATTTTATTTTTAGTTCATAATACAATTTTTTTCATTCCTTCTGTTTCTGGGCTCACAAAAAATCCTCAGTGGATACTATAGAGATATTATGTTAGATATTATAGAGATACTGCCTTTTGACAGACGTGAAACAGTAACGCTTTCCCTACTTAAAGCTACAGTCTACATTGGCATCAGATTATCAATGTAAAAATGTTTACTTTTAGTATTTTATATTCACTTTTACTGTTTCAAATAAATTTTGATTGGGTGTGGGGGTGGCACAGTGGTAGAGCGTGTAACCCAGTTCGAGTTCTGGATCATTGACCCTTTGCCACTTGTCTTCCTCTTCTCTCATAGCTCGCTTTCCTGTCTGACAATAGTCAAATAAAGGCTTCTGGTGCTGACAAAACCTTCAAAAATAATAATAAATGAATAATAATTTTTGTTAAGAATTTTTGCTATTTTTATCTTACCTGTTTTGTAGCTAATTGACAATAATCATACAGAAGTGATTTTAACCATAGTGTACCTTATTACAGATAACCATGAAGAGGAAGTCAGCACTTTATGTCGTCAACTTCCTGCTGCCTGTCCTCTTCTTCTTGAGTCTGGACTTTGCCTCCCTCCTGATGCCGACCGGTGGTGGAGATAAGATTAGCTTCAAGATCACGGTGCTACTTGCTGTTACAGTGATGCAGCTGATTCTCATTGAAATTCTACCTTTTACCTCAAGCAAGATTCCACTTATAGGTAAAAATCTCAAAAGTGTCCATGTAACATGCAGTGACCTGCAGAAGTTTTCCTACCCATCAAATCTTTCTCCATTTTGTTATGTTACAGACTTTAATGTTTAATGTGATAAACAAAGGTGACAGTTTTAAAAATTTCAAACATGCACAATTATAAATCCATATGTAATCAATCCCCTGATAAAGAAAGCATGTCACACAATATGCAGTGCTGGCTTCCCAGTACAAACAGCATCCTGCAAGCTAAAGAGTTGCATTTTGGTCACATCTGAACACAGCACCTTCTTCCACATCTTGGTCATGTCCCCTGCCAACAGTGGCTTATAGCAAACTGTAAATAAAACTTCTCATGACTTTTTTGCCAGAGGGTTTCTTTCTGCATAATTAATAGCTGAGTTTTCCTTTGTAGAGTCACTAACACCACTGCTCATTAAATATTTTAACTTAAGAAAACTCATTTTTTCTTTCCTTTCTCAGTTAGGTTCCTATTTTCATGATCTAGCTAATAATAACACAATTAAATACAAATACATTTAGGGATGATAAAATGTATAAATATTGATATCAATTTAACCGTTTGTCTTCCTAAGCTATTGTTCCATGTTAAATTGAACACTTAACCATTAATTCAAACAGCTACAAACCAAGTTCAAAAGTTGCACTTAAAAATGATGGATTTAAATTCAACCTGTATTTGTTCCATAATGAACCATATGAACCAATATTCTCACCATAATGTGTTCTCTGTTCCTCCAAGTGATTTACTGCATTGGGATTTTTGCTCTGATGCTGTTCAGCCTCTTGGAGACCATTTTCTTGAATTATCTGATGACAAAGGACTCTTCATCCCTGGAAGGCAAGAGAGAGAGTGACAAGCTTCGTAAGAACCAAGATGTTTATAAAGATGCAAACAATTATCACTGCTATCTAAGAGATTAAATTAAATATAATATCAATCTGATTGTATTTTCTCATAATTTTTGTTAAACATTTCATAATTGAGATACACAGATCCATGAAGCTGTTGTGTTCACCCTCAACTATCTTCCACTTTCTTTCTCTTCCAGAAATAATAAAAGCTTCCTCCACTGCCTCCACCTGCGATGAGTTGACCGATCAAACAGCATCTATGTGCAAAGGGGTTAGTGTAATTGGGGTTGACAATTAAATACAGTATTCAAGTTCTCATAACAAAAGTTACAAAAGTTAGTTGGGGGGGTGGAGGGGATAATTAGATGTTCTCTTGTGATAAGCAATGTGATGACCCATTATCTGGTTTATAACTTCTGACTCTGATTCTTGCAGGGCAGCAGCAGCCAGTTATTCCTGGCCATGGAGAAAGTCTCAGATGAGCTCAGAGAGATTAAAAAAATTGTCCTTGACAAAGAGTCTGAAGAGAAGAAGGATGGTTACTGGACCAGAGTCGCCAAGAAAATAGACAAGATTTTTTCCATTATTTATGTCTTGGCAGCCATTTTGTTTTTATCTGTCGTCTTCTCAGTGTGGCTCTCAAAACCAAGCTTACCGAAATGAATCAGATATTAATCTTATTGAGATCTGAGAAAACAACACATCTCTTCATGTAGCTGCAGGTTCACTTTGACTAACAAAGTAATTGAAACTCAACAATTACAATTAGTGACGTAAAAACAGGCAACGTTAAAACAAATGTGCAAATCTGTGGAAAAAAATCAAGGTCTTCTGGCTACTACTGCTGCCACTTGCAGAAATAAACTGCTCTTCGTCAGAAACAACCATGAGGAGAGTCTTAGACTACGTTCACACTGTCACCTGAAGTGACCCAAATTCGATTTTGTTGTTTGTTTATTGTGGGTTTTTATCTGTTTTTATTTTTCCTTTTTGCGTGGTCATTCACATTTCCTAATATATTTGCGACTTGTAATCTCCAGTGTGAACTGCAAACAACCTGAAATGATCCCACATGAGCAATAGAGGGCGCAGTAACAGCGTTCTCAGTGTTTTGTCAACCGCCAGAAAAACGTAGAAGTAGTTTTCAGTGTTTGCGGAAGTAAACATGAATCCTAATGACGGAGCGTCTCTTACGATGTTGAGGTTGTTTTCCAACTGAAGCCAGCACATTAACAACTTAATCCTATTACAGTCCGCCATGATTGTTGTTTTTCTTCCCACTTGTGTGTTTCAGGGCGCAGAATAGTGACGTATGTCGAGTATCAATGATGTTCCAGGCGGATGAATGTGACTTGGCTTACTGACTCGAGTCACATTTGAAAAGATCCCACTCGTTTTAAATTTAGGACCACAAATCCAAGTGACCTCGGTCGCATTTGAAAAAAATCTGATCAGTGTTGTTCAGACTGTCATGAAAAGATCGGATACAGGTCGCATTACGTCAAAAAAATCTGAATTTGGTCACTTCAGGCTGCAGTGTGAACGCACCCTTAGGGTTGCAGTGTAAACGTAGCGTTAGTAGTATCAATAACACTCATCGACGTTCAACCTTATGTTACAGGAAAACTGCCAAATTGTCACGTTCACGACAGAGTCCGCTGTGGGAGGAAGGCTGTAGTGTACCACAGAGCTAAGGGAAGGGACTTGTAAGGTGTGCTGCTTCAAAATGTTTAATCCAAGTTCAGAGTTTTCTCAGAACTCTTTGCTGATGCTTTATTAATTATATGGTAACTTTTGGCAAAAACCTCTCGTCTATACAGAATCTTAAAATGCCTCAGAACTTCATTCACTTCCTTATAAAATGCAGTGCCATACAAAAACATTCATGCTTCTTAAATGCTTTTATTTTTTTCCACATTACAACCGCAAAAAAAGTTTCAAAATGTGGAGACAAAAATCTGTAAAGTGTGGCATGCAATAGTATTTAGTTCCTTTTAATCTGATACCCCTCTGCAAGCTGTTGCCTTTGTAGGTCGCCTAATCTGTAAATGGTCAACCTGTGTTTAATGTAGCCTCAGCATAAATAAGCATCCAAGACTTTAATGTCTTGGATGCAGAAGTCCTGAATGCTCCATCCACACTCTAAAGATAGGTGGTGGCAGAATTATGCAGTTGGATTGGGATGCTTTTTATTCAGCAGAGATAGTGATATGGAAATATGGAGCAGGTTCTTAAAAGACTGACTTTGGACGGAGGTTTTCCTTCTTGCAGGACAACTGCTGAAAATGTACAGTTGGTGTTACTGTGGAATAGTATATAAATAAAAAGCATGTTCAGATTAACAGTCAAGACCAAAAATCTGTTTAAGAATTTTGGTTAAGACTTAAGCATCAACGTTTCTTATGCTTTCCATATAATCCAGAAGATATACCTTAAAAATTAGTGATTGTAATTCATGGCTAAGTGTTTAAAGGTTAAAGTCAAATTACTATTGTTCTTGTTGCATGTTGTTAAGGTCATACAGATAATATACATCGACAGACACCTGCATGAATTATAACACTCAGCATAAGCATGTTTATTAGATAACAAAATAAGGATCACTTGAATTTTACAGGAGTAAAGATGTTGTGCTTTCAAGGTGTAACTTATGTGAAACTGTTCACTGCATAAAACTAATGCAATTCATGACTTGTGTGGTGTTTTTGTTATATGATTTTAAAAAATAATTTAAGGTAAGGTAATTTTATTTACATAGCACATTTTCAGCAACATGACAATTCAAAATGCTTTACATGAATTAAAAGGAAATACAAAGTAAGAAACCAAAGAAAAAAAAATGTTGATCTGAAAGTACATTTCAGTAAGTATTTTACCACTTCATATGTAAGCAGATGATACAATGTGATATTTATGTGTTTTCAAAGGAAAAAGTTTATTTATAATTACAGATAAGACCAAATGTCTTTCTGGGGGGTAAAGAATATGTCGGCCGTAAATCACCAGACTTATGGTCCTTGCAACATGAAAGAGTGTGTGGGCGCAATGTAAAAACAGTCAAATACTTGCATCTTAAATGCATACAGGAATCAATTTCACACAATATACCAGGTTTTTATTAAGAGCAAAAGTGAGAAAATGCTGATGAGTTCAGATATAACTGTGATATAGCTGTAACATGTACAATTACACTGAAAATGAAACATCTGTCTGCGCTGTTAATGTACTCACAACTTTAAAATAGTACTGTTGTTCAGACTTCAGTTTCAGCATTCAACCTTCTCTTTGTTTTCATCCATATTTAGATTCGTCAATATTTGCTTAACTTATAAAGTGAAGACATTTCTTGTTCACGGCTCTAATCAGGTGATCCCACAGAGTTTCTGTCAGATTTAGCTCTGTACTTTCACTATCAAACTATACATTTCATTTAATGAGACCAAATTTGTGTTGAGTTGGATGTATGCTTGGACTCACTTTAATGTTGAAAAACAAAATCCTTTTTTCTGTCTTTCAATGCTAGACCTGCATTCTCTCTATGCAGAGAGAATGCCAAAGAGTTTTGACTGGTGTCAAAAACACATGCAGTATTAATCAGAGATTATGTTCTGAAGGACACTAAGCATACATTAAATATCAAGTCGAAAAGTGAACTTATCTGAACAGGTTTTATTTCTGCTCACGAGGAGGACACCACATTATAGCAAGAGTTAACAAAAACACGATGGCTGATATGATGTAAATGAAAGCAAACACCTTGTTGATTTTTTGAGCCACTCCCGTCCAGTAGCCTGGTTTCTTATCATAACTTCTGCTGCAGAGGAGAGTGATCGTTTTCCTGCTTTCTCCAAGCTCGTCTGAAATCTTCTCTATTGCCTGGGACACGTCTGTATTCCTGCTTGTGTTGCCCTGCAGATGTGGTTCAAAACACAGATTACAGCCAAACTGGAAAGTAGAGATTGTAAAAGTGCTGAACTGGAAAACGAGTAGTTACCTCTTTGTTCGGCGCTGACATGTTTTCAACCGATGGTAAGCGGCTCCTTTTCTTTACCACTGAAACAGTGAATTTAATTCTGCTTCATATGACAGATTGTATTAAATCCATATTTTTGTAGAGAGTTTAGTCTCACCTGTGAAACAGCCTTTCTCCGCCTGACTATCATCGCCTCTTTGCTTCTCCTCCTCTTGCTCATCTTTACCAATCAGATGAATCGCCAAAATTGTCTCTAAGAGACTTACCAACATAAGCGTGAAAATCCCAATGCAGTACGCCACTGGTGAAAGAAAAGCATCTTCATCAGCGTGATGGTGATGCAGCATGTGATGGAGCTGCTTATAAAACTCAAATTGTCTTTACCTGTGAGGGGAATCCGGTCTGATGAGCAGGGCAGAATGTCTTTGAGGATGAGCTGCATGACTGTGACTGAAAGCAGCAACGTGATCTTAAAGCCAACCTTTTCTCCACCGGTGTCTGACATCAGGAAGGAGCCAAAGTCCAGGCACAACAAAAAGAAAACGGGCAGCAAGAAGTTTGCAATGTAGAGGACAGACCTCCGCTTCATGTTTATCTGTCAAAGAAATTTAACATTTCATAAGAAAGTTTAAGATTTATTTTTAATTTCAGAAAGTGACACTCGGCTGACAGATAATGAAACCGCAGATTTCTATAATCCTAAAATTATTAATACCGTGGCAGATTTCTGTTTAATGTAATCTTTTAGATTTAATAACATTTTTCTTCTGACTGGAACTTATGTTATAGGTTAAAAACATGCCAGATTCCCCATAAAATGCAAGAAAATCCCAATAAAAGAGAACAAATCACAGGCAATTTGTATCAAATTGTTTGCCAATTAACATCTCAGTTAAGAGCCCGATTTGTAACGGTTTTTCAAGTGCTTTACATCTTCACTGCAAAAACAAAATCTTAAGAACTACTTTTGGTCTAGTTTCTAGTGCAAATATCTTCTCAAATAAAAAGACAAAACTATCTTCTAAGTAACCTTTTAGTAAGATATAGATGCTGGTTTTAATTAAATAATTCCTCAATATTGATGAATAATTATTATTAACAAATTATGTAACTTGTAACAAGGCCTTTTTTCTCATAAGTTAATTTATTCACCAATAGAAAAAGTACTTTTTTTATCAGTATTAAGAAATTATTTACTTAAAACAAGCCTCTATATCTTGCTGGAAAGTTACTTTAAAGTTAGTTTTGTCTTATTTCAAGTAGGATGTTTGCAGTGGAGTCTAGACGAAAAGTACTTGGTAAGATTTTTTATTTTTTTTTAGTGTTGGCAGTGAAGTACGACTGACATTGCCGTAAAAACTGGTGATCAATGATTTGTCACAGATAAATATGAAGACGTTTATGCTCCACACATGCGGATAAATACTTACAGTGTAGATGATCATTGTTTGGTTGAAGCCAAAGTGGTTGACCGTTTCGTTTGTGACCGTCATGCTGAGAAACAGCCACTCAAACTGCGTTTGCATGGCTTCACGAGACTCCTCTGTGATCTCTGTGTCATTGCTGTTGTAGAATAATGCTATTTCTTCACCTGTGAAATGTTAAAGAGAAACAGTTGACTTATTTCATCCTACAGTACATACCTGATAGTATTTAATAATTTGTAATCAGTTGTAGGTAAGAGAACAGACTGGAGGCTCACTGGGATGCATGATAGACTTGAAGGAGATGTTGCAGCTCTGAATGTCAAAAGGGAATCTGTAAACTTGCATCTTGCAGAAGCTGATCACCACCTGGTCGTTTCTAAATTCAACCCAGCCGTGACTTTTTATGTTGAGATAAGGGCTTGGAGAGGCTTTGTCCTGCTCTGTCCTGGATGGGGAATCACAGCAAATACTCACTTTAAGATTTGGATGCGATACATTTACTCTCAGTTTTAGTTTTCATCTGAATTTTGTTACTTTTAAATTGAAATAAGATAGACAGAAACTCTGTCCTTTTATACATCTAGATGACGTAATCATGTCTTTAAAGTTGTTTGAAAAAGACAAAGTATTAGGTGAATTTAAACTTACATCTCCTCAATGGTCAGATCAGGAATCCACAAAAGTTGAGTGGGAACTAAGATGTGATCAAGCCCACAGAATTGCTCTGGATCCCACCAAATATGTTCATTGTCCCATCTCTAGACAAGAAAACAAATTAGCAAGGAAGTTCAAAATGAGAGATGAATACAAACAAGGAGAGTTGCACAATTAAAAGAAAGAGCCATTTGAAACAAATACAGTGCTGAAGATAGGCGTCTTCACCATTACAGATTTTGAAGGTTTTTGTGTTATACTTAAAAGTTTCAGGGTTTTTTTTTTTTTTTTTTATATTATACATATATAATCTGACTAAATACAAAACTTAAGTTTTTAGATGATGAATTTACATATTGATGCAAAAAAGCTTTCTAACTACAATGATAATTTGTAGAAGTGATTTGTCCCTAAACCTAATGAGTAAGTAGTAAAGTAAGACAGCAGATGCCATTAATCATTTGTAACAGCTGATAATTGTTATATCACCGTTGGGACCCCATGCTGCAAAAACACTAAATCTAACCAAGTAATTTTGATCAAATTTCTAGTTAAATATCTTAGTACATTTGAAATAAGATAAAACTAGCTTACAATTAAGTTTTTAGCAAGATGTAAGAACCTGTTTTATGTCAATAATTCCTTAATTTTGATGAAAATGTATTGTTCCAATGGCAGATAATTTTATTTACATGAAAAAAATGTCTTATAAGTGAAGCACTCTGCCAATTAATTATTTACTTAAAATAACTTATTATATCTTGCTAAAAAAGTTACCTAAGAGGTAGTTTTGTCTTATTCAAAGTGTGCTAAGGTATTTTAACTAGAAATTAGACCAAAATTACTTGGTAAGATTTGTGCTTTTGCAGTGCAACCAAACAATCATGCTTGATTTTAGATGTTCTGTGACAGGTTTCTTCAAGATTTCCTGGATGCGTAACCAATGGGTGGCAAAGAAATTAGCAAAACTTTGTCCCATGCACTGTAAACAGATTTTTTTACTCCAGGTAGGGTTTATGTTAAATGATGTATTTCTAGGCACAAACAAAACACTTACCAAATAAATCCAAATATATGAAAAGAAAGACTGCTCAGTCTCTCTCTGTGGGCAAAGACAAACTATTAAATAACAAAACAAACTATACAAAACTGTGCTGTCCACAAAGAAGCGATAAAGTTCATCACCTGAGTCAAATATATTGTGTTTGTTTTAATCAATAAAATGTTTCTGATCTTTGACAGAGAAAACTGAAGCAGCAATATGTGGAAAAATTGCAGACAACTCACCACATCAAGAATTGCATGAACCTTCATCTCCAGGAAGATCCACGTTGAGTGCCTGTGGTGTTTCACGGGTCGGGTCAAAGTGTACTTGTCATTGTTTTTGGTCATGTTCAGGTAGTTTAAGACGGCTTGAAAACTGCATTCCTCCTGAGCTGGCACTTCACTTTCTGAAAATAGATCAACACACAGTGTGTGAAAATCAATTTTAAAAAATGACACCTGTTAAATGAAGAACCTTAGCAAACTTGATTTGGGAAACCAGATGTATGTGATAATCAGGGTATAGATGAACATTTACAATGTTTTCTGAGGGATTCTGGCTCATAAATGTGCTTAATGTGCATTTATTCTACTCTTAATATCCAGAACTAGAAATTATGTGCTGGAATCATATTTCAACACAAATCTTAATCAAGGATATGACAGAAAAAGTTTTCCACCTCGAATTTGCTCAAAGATCTTAGTAAAGTTTTTGTGCTGTAGGTTCTGCTGGAAACTCTCAGCAAATGCATCTGGGAAGCAGAAAAAAAGCGAAGGAATCAATTAAAATTCACAGTAAATAATTAAACCAAACACAGCAAACTATACATCTACTAAAGTATCATGATTTTTTGCTTTCATGTATCTTATGAAAAACACCGTTTCATTGCTGTGACAATTCTTGGTAATTTCCTGCATAATCCCATTTGGTGCATTAGCATTTTCTTCCCCAACCTGTTTCTCATGTTGGGGTGCAAATACACAGCATATACTATTTAGGTAAGATAACATTTTCCCCGCATGGCTGAGCTTAAGTCATACCAAGTAAAATAAAAGAAACATTCTAAACATCAGTAGAAAACACAAATGTATCTTGGGAATTATCACTAATAATTCCACTGGAAATTTATTTTCATTAGTCTGTCAGACATTTTGCTCTCAACAGCCAAGGATTTCCTGCCTGAGTAAGAAGGTTTGTGGTCTGAGCTGTAATAAGATACCACTGATGCAATGGACTCTAACCGTAGAAACTCCCATCACTTTGTCAAATTTCTAGATCCATCTAAATCATAAGGATATTTTTCATTCTAAATCAAACTTATCTCTTAACTTACTGTAAATGCATCTAAGTCTTTGACTCCTATTGCAAAAGATTGTGAGGTCAAATAAAAGCTCACAAAAGAGAAACAGAAAAATTAAATCTCTAGGAAAACAAAGGAGTTACATGAAAAGAATATTTTACTTTTCATTGCTGAGCTATATTTTACATTTCTTTTTTAACAACAGATCTGCTGCTAACTTAATTATAAAATATTTTTTCTTTTCATAAAACGCTAAATTTAGCTTAAACGTCCAGTTACAGCTCCATGCATTTTTGTTATCTTACCTGTAAGGAGAAGAAGAGGAAAGAAACGTAAAAGCATCATCGCTGTGAGATTAGTGTCGACTCTTTCTGTGCTCTCATGTTTTTATGTCGCTGCCCTGCCTGCTGCGGAGGGAGGGGTGCACACTGTCACACTGATTCCTGCTTAATGAAAACACATTTTAGATTTTCTCTCAATATCTGAGTAGCACTGATCTTATCTGGACAGGTTTTTAAAACCACTAAATGGAATCTGCAACATTTAGTGCTCTGATTTTTTTTATTTGTATGTAGAAACACACGATTAAACTTTATCTTTGATATCTTCATGCTTGAAACCCCATAAAAATATTTTTTAAATACACAAACATACTTCGGAAGATATGAAAACTGTGACTAAAGTTCTGGCTGTAGCAAAATTATATCCACTGCTCTGGTCTCAGACGCTGCATTTCAATTACAAATGTTTGTCTATATTCTGCTAATATCCAAAAAAAACACATAAATAAGCTTGCAAAGTCATTAAAAATCATATCAACTGTTACATGACATATATTAATCCTTTCATACATGAATTATGATTCTTTGTCTCAGGATTTTTTTCCAATTATTTTTATTTCCTTAAGGCATAAAAAAGGTAGGAAAATAAATTTTGTAAAAAATAAAATAAAATAAAATAAAAATATTTTTATTTATTTTAGGTGATCAGATGTAATTTTCTCCAAATACAAAGTTGTTGCATCTAATACATCAGTAGTATTGTTCTTTAGGTGTTATCTGATGTCACAATAATTTTTTTTTACCTGCAAGAGTCGTCTAGAGTTGAAGGAGGGACTGGGTCGGTTGGCGTGCTTTTTTTATCTGTCGGCCATATTGGATTTAACAAAAATAATTTCTTGCATTTGCAGATAATGGCAGGTAGTTGATAGTGCGTTTTATGATTCTTTAGTGTCCACTTCAGTGGTCTGTGTGCATTTATAACGTAAAAATCCATAAGAAGCACAAGAAAATGGCTTTTAGATAGCTGTCCACTGCAGTGACCACTAATTGAGCCATGGTGCTATTTCTCATCATGAGTAAGAGACAAAACAGAAAGTGAAGCAGTGGTAGTACATGCTGCAAAAGAGACACTTTCGAAAAGATGTAACTCTGCCCACATAGGTGGGGCAAAAAGCTATTTTTTAAATATGATACAGACAGATTGGTGCAGCATGTAAGCTATATTAATATAAATTCTGTGGCCCATATTTTTCCTGTTTGTTTCTGACAGAATTGTTATGAAATCTGTTGCTTATTTGTTTGTTATGCTTAAATGCTTGACATGAATGCATCCACCTGTCTCAGCTCATAATTTAAATATTAATGACATAAAGCAGCACTTTCACTGGAGTGCTAAGTGGATATGTGAAACCACTGATGAGCTCATTAGCTTCGACCACAATATGGGAAAACTGGGCTTTTAGATAAGATCTTAAATATCAGAGACAGAACAATCCTTTGAAATCCTGTGGGACTAAATGATCACCAGAACCACCAAGGCAGATTTATGGGTGCAGAACATCATTTATTTTGACAATAATGGAGAGATATGCCAGGTTTATATACACTTTTCTACCTGAGGATGCACATCTAATTCAGGAAAAACCTTCAGAGGATGAGATTTCCATTTCTCATTGCAAAGCAGCCAGCATTCTGGCTCTATTTTCACTTCAAAATATTATACAATAACAAAGGAGACTGGTTTTTATTTGTCAGCAAAACTTAAAAAAAACTTATCAGTTCAAATTATTTTATACCAACGATTTTGTTTTCTGAAAATCCCCTCTACTTTTAGACAATTATTTCAGAAGCACATAATACTGGTGTGACTGAATTGCTTTAGGTTACTGGGAAAAGAAAAACATAAATCATGCTAATAGTCTGATAAAGTTGAAGTTACAATGGATCCTGATGGGCTCTATTGTGTAGCTGAAAGTATTTGATTTTTGCATAACTCTGTAAAGTAAATTTGTCTTTCAGCCTTCAGTACTCATTTATTTTAACAGCTTTAATCCACAACATGTTATTTTACTGTGCTGGCTTGTACACTTTCAGCAAACTATAACGTCAAAATGAATTAATGAGATAAAAGGAAAAGTGAATGACAATTATTAAGACTGTTTCCTCTTTCTTTTCTGCCACTAAATAATTTTTTTTTCAGCTGAACAACGTCTGATGAATAGCTTTACTTTTATACCACTGCACTTTAATACAGAACAGATACATTAATCAGGTCATAATAATAAAATCGGGATGCAGTTATTCAGATGAATGCTGACTTGGATCACAGCTACATAAATGTAGACCTGAATTACGTCATGCAGTGTCAGTGGAATCACTTTTCCACTCTAAGAAAATGAGGACCAGGAAAATGCTGACCACCAGAACGTAGAAAAAAAAGAAAGCCTTGTCAACTCTTGTGGCCACTCTGTTCCAGTAGCCACTCGTCTCCTCTTCTTTGTTGGACTTGAAGAGCCGAGTCAACGTCTTCTCCATCGCCCTCAGCTCATCTGAAAGCCTCTCCAGGGTGTAGCTCTCCCCCAGCAGTTTGCTGCTTCTGTCCTGA